GCAATTTCGTCACACAACTGCCTTTTGCTACACACACACACACCCACACTTCAATTACGCAGCTCAATCACAACAATACACAGTACACCACACCATACAACGCACACATCAAATTATCTATCCATTCATATATTTTGTTCTATGTCAGCAGCTAAAATAACTGATCATTCGCTTCCAGATGGCCCCCATCATGCTAACAGCTTGATTTCCTGTCAATATGCTTGATCACACTCACCTGTCCATATCATCTAACTCAAATTCATCGATCTCATTATTGCATTCCACACCAATTTCGCATGTATTCAATGATTCAAATGATGATAATCTACACAAAACTCCATCAGAACTTGTATTGTAAAAGACAAAGGACCAGATCAGAACTTTATTGTGCGCAACACATCACACTATCTGGAATGCGAAGCCACGATTACTCTACCGATCTGCAGACTAACAAATTATCAGAGAAACGTAGGTGTTGCAGACACCATCACTCGCCTACACATTACTCTCCTTCCACCTCCACAGACCGCAAGGCCACAAATGTCCGTTGCCTTGTGTCTGTACTGGTCGTGACGTGTTCACCGAAATCTCTATGTGATCTGACACATTCGATCACAATAAACTCGCATCAAATTCAATCTCCACATGCAACAATCATGACTTGCAACCTACCACGAGCTGAATGTACTGACCACTCACCAATTCATCTACCACTAATACTACTATCACATGTGTGCGAACAACGTATGGTATTGATTGTCGTACAGATAATTCTCCGAGTATGAGGAGCATTTGTCTAGAAATGCATGAAGCATGCAGTGGATGACAGTACCAATGAGAGCGTCAGACCCAATGTTACATTGTCTCATGGATCTGACTCGATTAAGCTCATGCTCCTCGAACTGTTTCGGCCCACATTTGACCCGACCTGACTGTTGATTGGATGATTTGTCGAATGAAGTCAGATGAGGACAGGGTGAAGTGAATAGGAAGAGAGTGAATTGTTGGATGTGAGTGAAGGTGTGGTGAATGGAGATGTGTAGTATATACTTCCAGTAGTCACTTCACTTGATCCATTCACACATTATAGTGTGAACACCAAGTATACCACCATCCCACCTCATTCGCACAAAACAATCAATGTCGTCTGTTCTCTCTCGCACAACTCTTCAAGCTGAGTTCACATATCAGATATGTACGTGACGATGACCATCGTAATAATCATAATCATCGTGTGAATAACATTTAGTGGCTGCGTTGAACTCGAAGTAGGACTCACCACTCTAGTGGCCCACCATCTAACTCCGATATTTATGAACAATTAAATATGCTATGAAATAAATCTTCCCTTCAGTTCCCATATATCATACTTAGGCGAACCCCGTTTATGAGGCGACCGTAGTTAGCAGCCAAATACGGATTCGGTTGGATGAGTTTATTTCAAGCAATCGTTCGTGCTGACAGACATGAGAATACAAAGCGTCAAAGAGAAATGGAGAATGCGAGTGAACCAACTCAATGTACTGAGGCATGACTAAGCATTTATAGTCAGACAAAAATAAAACAGACATGCGATAAGTGAAGTAAGTATGCACACATACACACTCGAATAAAAACAACCAAGATATGAGCGAATGATTGACAAAGTCGAAAGATCTGTGTGTAACTCGAGAAGCATGGATTAATTAATTTGTTCAAAAGCTGGGGCAAGCCCTGTGTGCTCGACACATTTGTACACACACTACAAACTAATAATATTGTTAGCATCATTCAATACTACTGTATGATTAGACAAAGTTGGCGAGTCTCAGCATCACCCGACTTGCATAGATCAGTAGTAGTCGACGTTTCAGTGTAAATTCCCATGACACTTTGTTTGTTGCTTGAGACGTACTGAAGCGAGTGTGTGTGAATTGTGATGTGAACAGCGTATTCTCAACATCTGAAGCAACTGAAAATGTCAAACAATGAGGAAGGTGGTGTTAATTTTGGGGAAAAGTAGACATTTAGAGGAGGGTGGAAGTGTTCATTTCGAGACACTTCCTCACAATGTGGAAATTTCGGGGGAAAGTCGTATTTTTTATCGCAGGCTCGGAGAAAAGGCGACAATTTGATGCACTCATTGTCTCTTGTATTGACGGCTCATCAATGTGTGATGCTGCGACATTTCGCTCACACCTAGTGTGACGAAATTCGAGTCTGTTGCGTTTGTGTCAGGTGTGGATGACTAGTCTGTAGGTTGGGGAATGAAAGAGAGAGAGAGAGAGAGAGGGGGGAGTGTGTATGGGAGGGGGCGACAATATTGTGCAGACATTGGGATGGGGTGGCGTGAGTTTATTCACACAGGTGGAGAGAGGACGAGAGATGGAGTTACCGACAGTGTGGGCACGTGACCGGAGATAGTGCCAGTCGTCGGGAGATGCTTGTCAGTGTGGAAATAGAGATGAATGTTGTGTAGAATGGTGTCCGATGTGAAAGCGCTCCCGCGCCGGGAGTCGAACCCGGGCCGCCTGGGTGAAAGCCAGGAATCCTAACCGCTAGACCACGCGGGACGATTTCATGTCCAACATAACTACACACATCATCCACTCACAACTACCACATCATACCACTGTCATATACACATCGCTCCACACATACGCAACAACATTCATCACACAGGCATCGAAAAATCACTCACTATTCCGGCATACTCATCACCACTTCAAGTATCGCCATCGTCAACACCCATATCACGTACAACTCGTACAAGAAGGTCATCAACAACAACAGCTAATGCTAGTACTGCTACTGCTGCTTTTACTACCGCTACGACTACCACTACTCCCTCGTTGACATCCACACACAGAAACCTATTACCTCCTACTGATGATGCGGAACATCTTGTAGTTTTTTATGGTTTTTGCCTCTACTACCTTTTTAACCTTTGGTTGCTTTTTTTCCACCAATTTTCTTTGCTCATATTTTAGTTTTTCTCCACATATTCTGTATATTGCTCTTTAATTTGAATATTCTTTCGGTGTTGATATTTCGTTTGATTTTTTTCTAATTTCACTGATTCTTTACAGGCCTCTAATTTTTTTTCTCATTGATGTATGATTTTTCTGGATATCTCATTATCGTTTGATCAATAAGTTTGTATGATTATTTACCTCTTTATTCCCAATGGTCGAATTATTTTTGTCAATAACTGATCTCGTGTTTTCCCTCATGTTTGTGCCCATTCTCTCGTCTTTTTTATGACCATTTCCTTTCTCCTGTAGGTCATGAATTCTTTAATTTTCTTTAAAACGTTCTACTACTCGTAAGTAGTTAAAAAAAAAATACTATTTCGCTTTCGTTGTTTATGCGTGAAATCGGTTTTGCGGTCAGTGCCTTAATCAATTACGTTATTCTCATTGACATAATCTTAACTTCATATCTCTTTTGATTTTTGTTTTATTGGTATTATCTTTCTGACTGTTTTGCCTACTCTTGAAATTGTACTGATAAGTATTTTCTTTTAGTGATTTAGAAAAAGGATATTGATTGAATGAATGTATTTGCCCGTATACCAACAGAGTTTGTCAGACAATCCTGGTTGGCAGCCAATGCTCGATGAGTGCTAACAGACGTAACTATGTAAGCATGTATTACTAAATAGAATTTTCTTTCTATAAAATGTGACATAGAGAGAAACTGATCTAGGAAGTTTACTTCTCAATACATAGCCCATTGGAGACACGTTCATGAAACTGTAGTTGGTTATGAGTTAATAATGAAAATGACGTCAATTTGAAGGTAGTTTATATCGTTAACTGACTTTAGTTAGACAAGTGTTAAAAACCAGGGTGCATCGTATAATTGTTCTGTTAAAATATAAAGACTTCTAATCAGGAAATAGCTGTAATTCAATATAGGTAGCATGTTCTTCGCTTGAATGTCTGTGATGTAATTCTTGGTTAGATCATGGTTGTGAACAGTTGTGTAGTTCTAACCAGTGATTCCTGGTTTTCAGCAACGCTCTTATTGAAGATATCATTAAATTCAAGCTCTTTCATAATGAACAGAGTATTTTATTACCATTATTGTTAATCAGTCAAGATTCTTTTATTCATTTTAGTGTCAAATCAAGAAAAAGTTCAATGAACTTGATTAACCAATCTCTTGTGATATATCAGCGTACTAAATCTTTTTGGATACTATCATAACGATCCTGTAATTTAATTACAGTAAGATTGAAATTGATGTAAATGTTAGGGTTTTAAAGCATATTTTCTAGAGAATCTTGAAGTAGTAAGCTTACTTCTGGACAATCTTTATCATGAATCAGCATTAATTGTTTAGATATGGAAGAGTTTTTCACTGGTAAGCTGTAATCTGTCAGCTAAATCATACTTGAAGTGCGGAAAAATTGATTCATAATACTTGTGATGATTTTTACTAGGATAAGAAATGAATGGACTATTTGAAAATATTTTTTTCGGATAGCAAATCTATAGTTTATGACCTTCACGATGGTATTTTAAACATCTCTAATACTTTGAATTACTGTACTACTTTTCTTAAATTTTGATGATCTTTTCAATCAGAGCACCTCATATGAAAGTGCATTAGTTCTGTTTGCTACTTGGATTCACTGACGATGTTTTACTTCGATTGTTGATCTGAACATTCAGTTACGTAGAACCCCTTCAAAATTAAACCTAGTATTTATGAAGAGAACTTTACTTGATTCCTTACAAAGTGATCGCTATGATCTATTAGTCTAATCAAAATGAACAATTACATCAACTCGATAAACCACAACATGTTTCGATACACCCATTAAATGATTTATTAACACATTTTATTTGGTGATCTAATTATACCACAAACGTCCAGGTATTCTGCATAAATATACGTATCGCATCGCTGGGAAAAGGATAACTAAATATCAAACTAAAATACATGAGCAAGTCAGTATGTGGTGTGAGCTACTTATAAGTAGTATATGACGTGAGCGTCAACGTAATATCTGGCAGCTGGAGATGGGGAAAGATCAAGAAAGGAAGAGTTAGAAAACAATGGAATTTGTATGAAACGCATGAATAGTGACAATGGATTGATGTTTGGCAACAGGAACAGTCCAGTTCGATATGATGAACTGTTATTTTGCAAATGAACGAGTTACGATATGGTTTTCCAATTTTACTGAGTAACTCTGTAATTTCGCTAAATACAATTCGTTTGCCCCACCTGTGTTCTCGTTCACTACAAGTATACATCATGATGTCATAAAAGTAGTAAGCTAAGTGAATTTATAAACAGTTGGAAGGAAATCAAGGAAAAGAACTAGATTTGGAATAATAATAATAATAATAATAAGTCAATAAACTTTTTGCCACAAGGAAACATTAAAATAGCACTAATTAGAACGGTTTACACTAAAAGAAGAGGATAGAGCTTATAGTTCTCGATGAATGTAACAAACCAGATTTGTTCTAATTCTTATCAAACAAATAGTCCAGAAAATCGGGAAGTTACGTGATAATTTTTATCTTTTGTAGCATACAAATTAATGGTTAATGTATTAGAGCTCTAAGTTTATTCGAACTGCTTGACTTATGAACACAGATAATACACCCACTTTGATTCCTGTGGTGGAATCCAAAAAGGATAGGCTTATTTTTTAGGAGGGTCTTAGACATATGATTATGGTTGAAGATTTGGCCTAATCTCTTGAAGGATATATTAATGAATGAGTTGTATATACATTCTCCATTCAGTTAGCTAATAAAAGCTTCCTACTATCTGTTTTTTACTCAAGTAACTGATTTGGGCATGTATATAGAAGGTGTGATTATCAGTATCAGACTCGAATAGCCACACAGCATAACAATAGGACTGTAACTGGTAATGAAAAATGTAATTATTAAGGTTATTTTCAATAATGAAACATTTTAAACTTTAAATATTAGTTTCAGTATGATAGAAAGCATTAATAGAATCACAATTGGATTTCGAAATATACTGTCGGTTATGTCTGTTCGCTTGACAACCAGTCTCTTATTTCTCACTCATTTAATTGGTCTACTTTTTATTTCAAGGTCGTTTGTTACATACGCTGAAGGATTCAAACAACTGTTTGTTATACTATCACTATAAAATTTGTCGGCGCATTCTTAAAACAATTGAAGATCGATTTCAAAAAATAGTCTGTAGACAAAGATGACATTAAAAACTACTATCACTAAGATCAAGAAAGCCTCAGTATTGACTATTTGCTATTAAGGGACAAATGTTTGACAGCAAGCAAGCTTAGTTAATACTTTAACTTAACTGGCAAAATTATCCTTCTAATGATGAAACTCATAACGAAAATTTGGTTCATCAACAAAGCATGAATAAATTGAAGCTGTTTTTCAAGTAACAATCATTAAATCAAAAATGAAGTTGGAGACCGAATTCTTGCATATTTGATCTGAAAGAGAGAGATTTTACGATACATTTCAAACGCTTTAGTATAAGGTTAAAAGCTGAATTGTTATACCATTTGGCTGTTAGCTAAAAGAAGTTTGAAGAAGATGAGACAAAATTCTCTGAAGTTTGTAACGACAGTCAAACAGAATGATAATAGTTGCGTTACCGGTTACTGCATACATATGCTTATTTACTACTAAACATCCTTAAGGAATCTAAGATTAATTCCGTATTTAAGTATATTTTCCCCTTTCTCCTAAGATTTGCAATTTCCAAAATTAAATACACTAAGTCATTCTTCTTCCTCTAAATGTCATGATAACTGTAACTGCAACGACCATTTATAGCATATAAATATATATTGGAAGCTATTTGACAGGTGGTTGATTAAATCTGTACGCGTTTTGATAAGTCGATTGATTGTACCTGATGAGTCATGCAGTCCCAATTGCATATTCTTTTTCTGTGGCTTTAAACAATGACGAAAATCTAAATATTTCATTGAGTGACACAAATACATAATTGTCAAACTAATGTCTACATGCTTTATTACTACTAGAATTTCTAATAGGTAATAGTTGTCCTAATTTTTAGATAGCAAGCTATTAATCAAGTTGAAAGAATTTATCGTTTAAAGTAACTAGATTATGAATAAATATTTGGTATACATAGAAATCGTTCACCACAAGGCAGAATGTTGTATAGACTGCGAAAAAATACGAGTGAAGTCTCGTCATTTTTAAACGACAAGATAGCTTATTGGTTTGAAATGTGTGTTGGTCGATTCCTCAGATCCTGTGTTTCTAAGTTCTTCATAGGTTTTTTCTTATAATCGCACTAATTTATATTTACTCAAATTGTATCTTAGATTCTTAGTAATTTTTATGACTGTTAATCCTGTTACTACTTCTCCTAATTTGGCATTAGCCCCAACAAGTTCATCTCGCTGTACTAATGGGGTATGGCAACCTGAAACAATGTACACATATGCTAGGTTCTGCGTTGCGCCACTTGACTGACTACTAGTCGATCAGGCGCATTTTCTGATTAATTTGTCATTGATATCTGGTATTCTAATATTTTAGACTTACTTATCAAGTCCCTGATTTGGTTTTTTTTCAGGTTTCAGATGTAAAAATGAAATTGTTTGAGTGACAACAAACAAGAATAAAGGAAAGTCGAGTGTTATAGGGCTGACTAGTGGAAATTACTTCCTATATTTCGTATTCGTCATAAAATTCGACCTTTATTGGGTTACCAGTTAATGAAGTCATTGGAATGTCATTCAACATGCCGTGACCTGATTGATGAATCTTTGACCAAAGTAGTTGTAACTGTTTCTAGGTCGAATGACCTGATTAGTAAATTGTCTTTATTACCTAGTGAGATTGTTTAAAGTATCAAATAAATTCTGATAAAATCGAGAGGAAGCTTTACACCTAGGTTTAGTGCTAGAGGGCCAAATATACCTGAAATTTCGTAACCGATCGGTAAATGTATGACATACTGGTGGCCTTCAGTTAACCAGTCATGACTCAGATAATACCTCATGTATTTTGCGTGAAATTTAAAGTGCAGTAATCGATAGCCTGCATATTATTACTAACAAAGTAAGAATTGATAATACTCGGTCCTTAAAATTCTTAGAATCAATGAAAATACCTTTCGTGAGAACGAAAAGTGACTTTGAGATGGTTAAATTACAAAACATAACCACTCCTAACATAAAATGTGTTTTAACGTACCTGGTGGGATTCAGTCGCAGTCAAGAGTATTTAGTGAGATTAAACGATATGCTTCAACTTGCTCCAAACCTCAAACATAAGTTTCTTAGGTTTGTAAACAGAAGGTTTTCGATCAATCGCTATAAAACTCTAACCGTAATTAATAAACTTAAGTCCGAAATACAGCTTAACTCATAACACCTAACCCTAACCTTTTTGCATTTCAGCTAGTGTCAGCTATATGGCTTGAAAACCCAAACAACACAAAGCACGACTCCGACTATGCAAACTTAACTTTCTTTTACTATAAGGTATGAGAGGGTTGATTATTGGGATCAAAGCTATCATTTTACTGATTTTATTGCTTGTTGGTGTTAATCGTTGCATAAGTAAGCAATTATTCCTGATTGGTCTAAGGTGGTCAGTTTATTATACTTTTGGCAACCAATCTGTCAAACAGATCAACTGTCTCATTAGATGAATAAACAAAGGAAAACCAACAGATGAACAGAATTTAGTAACAGCTCTCAAGAAGTCACAGTTTCTTAACCACATTTATGCACATAGAAATCATGTGCATATCCCTTTTCTCTCTAGGTTTTAGTCTAGTAGTACTGAATTATCATTGTAATCGGCCCCCGTTCAGGTCACATTGAACATAACTAAATGTTCCCTTATTTCATTTTTATTGTCCCGGTTTCAACTGAATATTTTCTCGATCTTATTCAGATAATTTATGGCCTACTCGCTTACTATCATTATCTACGTACAATTAGACTATATTCGCCCCCCGCTTTGAACACACATTTCCCAACAAACCATATAAACACATTGTATGTTTATGACCTCACATATAATCCGCCAATTTAAATATTGATATTTGGATTTCGTTAGCTACAAAAGCTTAACTGTTTTGAAGAAATATTTCCACTCATATTGCAGCTTAGTAAAAATATTATCCTTGATAAACAAATGTACCTTTCATTCATCACAATGTGAATTTTTTAATTTATTTAGTCGCTTAACCTGAACAGAAAAAAAAATGTTGGAATTAACTATTTTCCAGTGGACGTGCATTCCACTGCTTCAGCATATGTGGTAAAATGGTCCATGTGAAATTTAGAAAACTGATTCACGAAATGGGGTTAGG